AAAACTAAGCGCATATAAACCAACTTTGTACTATAGATTAGTGTGTTGGGAGAAGCCAATCCCAGAGTGGGTGAAATGCAATACAGATGGTGCTTGTAGGGGAAATCTTGGACAAAGTTCATATGGATTCAGCATTAGAAACAACATGGGGGATTTAATTTATGTTGAGGCACAAACTATAGGAGAGGCAACAAATATGAAAGCCGAGATTATGGGAGTGTTGAAAGTGATGCGGTACTGCGAGATACAAAATTTTCAGAAGATTATACTGGAAACAGATTCATTAACACTCAAAAACATGTTAATAAAAGAGTGGAAGATTCCTTGGTCGTATGTTGAAAAAATCGAGGAAATACAACAGTGCATAGCAAGGAAACAAGTTCAGGTAAAACATATATTTCGAGAGGCTAATCATTTAGCAGACTACCTGGCAAACATAGCCCTAGATCAAGCAGAGCATGTACAAGTCCAAAGTTTCTACAATCTACCAAGCACAGAAAGACGAATCATTAACATGGATAAGCAGCAAATTCCATCATTGCGAATTAAAACAAGGAGAATTAACCCAACATGCTAAGCTAGTGCAAGAACAAACCAGAAACACATAGCTACAATATTTACAGATCAAAATTCTGTCTTCTAAGAGACAATCTAGCTATGTCAAAGCCTATTAGCCTCGAGCTATTTTAGATTACAATTAAGGACAAGGAAAAAGGGGGACCTCAATTCGATTCATCCACTGGAGCGCAGACTCGATACAGCAGGACAGAAGGAGCGTCATGGTTAAGTCCCAACAAAAAAGTTCTTGAACTCCAAACATCATCACCGGATTCTCATCGCAGCAGTGGGGAGTGGCGGTATTTGGGAATGGAGTCAACAAGAGAGTACCTTTGCGAGCTGATAAAACTCCTTCTTTCCCATGAATGAAGAATGTTAATCCCAAAGACGGAAAACGAGCAAGAACAAAGAGGAGGGGACAAGAATCATGAAGGAGGCGGGACTTAGGAGAGGGAGATTTTGGAGAGCTCTAATTAGGAAACTCTATTAGGGAAAGACATGAAATGTCTTGTATTTCCTAATTTGGGCCACCCGACTCTTTTTAAATTTGGGCTATTAACCAGCTTGTGTATGTCTTTTTTGAGATGATATAAACGAACCACTGGTCCAAATTATTTTTTTAAAAAAAAAAGAGATTGTAGAAAGGATAAATAATGACAAAATTAAGGAAAATGTTATCATCTTATTGACCGATATTTTTATGGGAAATTAATTCATATTCTCTAATTATAATTAATAAAATAAATAAATGGTATCATTTATTTTAATCTTATATTAAAAATAAAAAAAAATGTTTTACTTTTTTATTTTAATAAATTATGAAAATTAATTATTTTTGGACTTTATCATTATCGTTAAGTAATTATATAAAATACTAATAGGCAAATTAAAATTTTCAAAATATAATTAATAAAATAAATAAGGCATCTTCCCCTATGCTTAATATATATACTCTCTTATTATATAAGAGAGTTCACACTGACGCAAGCACGTCTCTATCAATGTGCCTTGATGAACTTTGAATTTTTTTTCTTTTGTTCTATTATAATTTAATTAGTGTATAATATTTTTGAAATTATGAGATCCGTTTTAGCTATAACTTTTAGTTTTGAATTCATATTATTTAGTTATAGCTTTATTATTTTTAATGTCGGTAATATTTGTTTATATCTTGTATCTACTTTGAGTAACAAATTAACGATTGATGACGAAAAATACTTTAATTATGGACATCTTAATGGATCTCTTCACATTAAATTTGTGCAAACAAAAAGTAACTAACAACTTAAGGACCTCTTCACATTAAATTTGAGCAAACAAAAAATAATTAACAACTTAAAAAATCTAAAAATTACATTAAAATTTAATTAACTTTTTAAATTTTATCTATATAACATTAATTAAAATTAAAAAATAATAAATATTAGGCCCGTGCTAGCACGAGCACCTGTGTTTAGTATTACTCAAAAGTATCTATTTGGAAATAATAGTTCTGTTTCAATTTGTGTAATTGTGTTTTATTTTGCATAATTTTTTTTGAAAAAACAATAACTGAAATTTATAGTTTAAAATAAAGTATCATTATTACATAATTATAAATTATTTTATTAAGAGTGAAATGTTAACAGGTTTAAATGAAATTATACTAAATATTCTTTATGGTTTGATTTGTTTATCTGATTTTAACTCGATATGAAGTTTAAGAAATTAAAGAAGATTTTTGAATCTGATGGTCATAAACTAAAAATACGTAGAATGTATCAAAATATTTTCAATTTTGTGGTCTTAAATATGTCATGTGTAAAATTAAACAAAAATTATCCTAAAAAGAAATCGATGTTTTTATAAAATAGACTTTTTAAAAAAAAAGTAATACAAACGAATTGAAACATATGAATATAAATATGCCATCCGTTCTTTTTTAATATTAACTCAAAAAAATAGTATCAAAATAAATTGAGATAGAGTAATAAAATATTTCCAAGAATAAGGTAGGTGTGTATGAGAGAGACGGTTAATTTGGGCGTGTTTGGTGTGGGAAAATATTTTCTTACAAAACATATTAATTCTTAATTATTTTAAATATTTGATAAGTAAACAAAAAATATGTTATCCTAAGAGTACTTATAAATATTCTAGTAAACAAATAATAGAAGTGTTGCGTGGGGCTTCGAAAATGATGAAGGTGGGATGATCGAAGGATAGGAATATTGGGTGGATGAGAGGATACAATAAATCTAAAATGTCACTTATAAAAAATATTTTTTCTACTTCTACTAAGAAAGTCATTTATTCTTTTTTAAGAAGCTTATTTTGATAGAGAAAATATATTTTTCAAAAAAATTATCGAACCAACCATAAAAAAACAAGAAAATAGTTTTCTTCCTTACCAAACACACCCTAATAGCATTCAAATGGAGTCGGGTCCACTTCAAAAGGAGAAAGTAAATCAGAAAATTCCAAGGATGTGTTGTCACTTGTCATTGTTCCTGCATTTTTATTTTTATTTCATATCAATAAGATTCAAATTCGACACCTCTACTTGGATCATTTCTCAATTTATGCGTGTCATCCTTCTGCAGGGATCATGCTAATTTTTTCTGTATAGTTCTAATTTTATCGGATGTCCCTTCGGGGACTTTGAGATCTCTACTTATGAATGAGGAGTTCTTATCGTTCTATTATAATCCTTGTTGGTATTGTTCCTGCATCATAAAACAGTGAAATAATTTTTTTTAAGTTTATGCAGTAAAGGGTCGTTTGTTCGCTGGTTATCCACATGTCGTTAATGTAATAAATAGTGATGCAAGATTTAATTATTTAGAATATAAGTAATAAAAAAATTAAATATGCACTCACTATAAATACATAAATTATCCCATATATATTCAATTTGTTATATCAGACATTAATTACATTATATATTTTTTAAAACAAAATATTGATTTACGATCATGATAAAGTTTGACAACTAAAAGTTAGGTAATGCAACATAGAGTATATAGTAGGCACGGGAAAATATGCAGTCAAAGTCGTAAATTAAAGTGTAGGGTGATTGAGAGTAAATTTATGCATATACTAGCTTATATATATATATATATATATATATATATATATAACATATATATTGATTTTACTTATACTTTAAGTAATTATGTATCTTACCATTAATTAAGAGTTTCTTATCATATGTTGAGAAAGATTGTACACCTAGATGTATATGGAGAGAGGCGAGCGAGAAGGAAAGGGAGGCAAGCGAGATAGTTATGTATCATAAATACATGCAAACCACGCTAGATACACACTAAATACATGTATTTGTTTTTATCTGCTATGATTCATATGTATTTAGGATATCATATACATAGGAGAGTGGTGAGCAAGAAAATATACTAAACCAATAACCATAGGAGGATATCATATCTGAGATTTTGATTTTAAATATGCTAAACCAATAACCAAATTAATAAGTTATTTTCTAAATCAATTTTTAGTCCTTAATGGTACGATTTTCAATTTAACCAATAAGAAAATACTCATAAATTAAATATGTGCCTTTTCCAATAATTTGGCGCAGCAGAACAATAATATAACTTTACATAATGCTCTTAATAGAAACAATACTAACTAACATAGCTAACGGGCAAAGATAGTAATCAATAAAGTACTTATATTAATATTTAATATTTATGTAGGGACAAAATAGTAAATTATTACAGTCTTAGCGGGTTATCGATTTACCCAATAATCTAATATTAAAAAATTAAAGTCGAACCAATAAATCAGATTATTTTTTATAAAACCATTGAAATTTCGTTAACCCAACAACAATAAATCAATATCATTTTTTTAATTCGATTTATTGATCGGTTCAATTTTTATAGACCCCTAAATTTGGGGATAATATTCGATGTTTAATCTAAAGAGAAGCTTACGTTATCAAATCGCCAAATGATATTATCAAAATTTCATCTATTTTAAGGAGAAAATATGGCCAAAATTTGTTGTAAAAGATAAATATATTCCCCTTTTTAAGATGTGCCACGTAGACCAACTAAAGATCTTCTTTTACATATATATATAAGATAAAAATTGACCACTATATAAGGTGTTTTTTGCCAAATAAATAAATAAATTAGGCTATTCAAGCTTTATATTCAAAAAGTACTAATTCTAATTTTCGAGTTACCTTTCCCATTTAAAATATAAAGTCTTTACGATTAATTCTTTAAAATGAGTAGGTAATTCTTTATAAAATCAATTGATAAAAGCCACAAAAGAATTTTAGCAAAATGCCAAACATTTTTAAAAATTCAAAATCCCTCAACGGCTACCTAAATCCAAAAAATAATTACACATTTTCCTATTATTCCCTCCCAAATATAAAATTCAAAACACACACACAAAAAAATAAATTATTCATTTAAAAAAATACACAAAGCTTCAATCACGCCCCTTCTCTTTCTCTTCTCCCCTGTATCTTCGCCTCCATGGAATCAGCCGAAGAAGATGAAGCTTTTATACCCGGCTCAGCCTTTTTCACTCAGCCGCCACCGAATTTAGTGTCATTATCACCTTTCACTTCATCAGTTTCGCCTTCTCCTCGGCGGCTTTCCAGCTGCTATTCTCAGCCGAGCCAACCTATAAAAGCTAAAAGACAACTTGCATGGGTGTCTCTTCAAGGAAGGCTTATCGGTGCAGAGGAAGCAAGTTCTGCTAGGAAGATTGGTGGTGGTTTAAACCCTAAAGAAGCTGTGGCTTGGGAACTCTTTAGCCCCATTCATCGGATTCTTGTAGTTGCTGTTGTTGCCGTTGCTGCTGCGAATTCAAAGAAGAATAAGCAGATTTGTCGGCTGAAGAAATCCGTTGAACTTAGGGTTAGTTGTTTTTATTTTTGGTAATGAGGTTTTGCGTACTTACATTATTGCGTGAAGTACTGGTTTTATTTATTGTTAAACTGTTTAATGCTGCTGTTACTACTTCTCGTTTTCATTAATAATTTGATCTTTTAAGGATTTTTTTGCATTTTTTGACTGGTAATTTAATTGGATTTGGGGATTTAGTTAATCATTTCTACTACAGAAAATCCTGTTTTTCATTTTTCTTCTATTTCCTCTTTCCTTTTGAGTTGAGGATCTATGCGAAACTTGCGTGTATTCTACCCTGACCACACTTGTGAGATTAAATTGAGTATGTTGTTGTTATTGTTATATGTCCTCTTGCATTAGGATTTGGTTCTTTTCATCTTTTAATTCTTTGGTTTATGCAAAATAAATTCACAAATTTCTCTAGGAAGCAGTTATACTTGGCTCGAATTGTTAATTGTACCCTTCTACTTACGAGGTTACCTATGGGATACTCTAAGCCAATGCAAAATAAATTCACTGTTTTTCCCATTTAATTTTTTTCTGAGCAAATGATAAGGTTGAGTTTCATTGGGTTTAAGTGTTTAGTTGGTGAAGTCGTGAGTAGAAGGTCTGGTTGACAATCTGAGCCAAGTATAAGGGTATCCCAGGCTATTCCGCCAAAATATTGTTATCCAAAAGTTAAAAAGTTATTTACTGAAGTCAAGTACTGCCTTTTTTCCAAATTAGATGATGAGATGTTGGTTCACTAATGTATCTTATATCAATATTGTAGGAGGTTAGTGGTTGAAAGTTCTGTTTGATAGAGAAAACATTTAGTCAGATTTAATAGTTGAGTAATTAAATGTATTCGTATTCTTCAAAGTCGTGAATGTGTATAAAATATTATTGTTAATGAAAGAGTTTTAAATTCTCTGCACTGATGGTTTAAAACATATACTACATTATTAATATAAAGCGTTCCATAGTGATGACGTTTCTAAATGGTAAGTGTCATTTAAATTGGGATAGAAACTGTGTTTGCATGAGTTTAGTTGTCTATTCAGCTATTTGAATTATTTCTTTTATTTTGTCCAGGATCAAGTGCTCTTAGGCATGCAACAGAAGCTGGACACATTATGTGAACAGGTTAACTATTTCAAGGATCAGCCAGAAACTGCAGCAGATACATATGACTATTTTCTTTGTGAGCAACACTTGAATCAGTCCAACAACTTTTACGAGGTAAACAATCCTGACAGGCTCAATTAGGCTTTTGTTCTATTTCGCTGCGAGTCAATTCTGATCAAGGAAGAGGAGGTGATTAGTTATGAAATGCCTCCAGCAGTAAATCATATAGAAGGATAGTAGAATGAATAGGCCCAAATAGAATGGAATGGATGTAGAGGAGTTAAATAGTTGCACCAACTAGTATGGAATTGAGGCGTAGTTTATTTTTGTACTCTTTTTTGGACTTGAAACCAGTGCTTACCATTTCTTTCCTCTTAACTAGAGGAATATGATCAAGGGAGAAGAGATGCTTAAATTTGAAATGCCTCCAGCAGCAAATCAGGTTGAACCAGAGGAACGGCGTATGTCTGATTTGTCGGATTGGGCTGCTAGTGTGACTTCCTCTGTAGATATTCAGGTAATTACAGTATCTATTAGATTTTTCGATTATGCGATGAACTAGCATTGAGCTTTGTTTACATGTGAATCTTTTGTTTTCCAATAGTGTATCTCACCTCAGAATTTCTATTTTCTCATCTTATGGATTTTTCCGAGAGAAAGAACAATGTTTTCAAATGGATGAATATGGGCCTTTTGAGATTGGATATCCTGGAATTTTGGTAACATGCAATCAGAATTTCTTAGGGAAGATAAACTTCAGTGTAGGCTGCTTGCAGTTTAGATGATGCAGTGGACAATTTTGCAGTCTGTTGTTAAAATTATCCATTAGTTTGTTTTTCTCTTCTACCTACTTCGGCTTGTAGAAGTCAAATAGATAATTACTGATGGTAACCACCATTTAGATACCGTGTTAACTCTGTCTTTTAAATCTTTACTGATGAGACAATAGAAGTTGCACGTTCTTTGTTGAGAAACAAGGGTATAGACATGTTGAATTCCCTAGTTTCCCATCATAGGGATTTCTATCTATAGATTAAGTGATTACCAAGGAGCTAATTCGTTCAGTGAGCGTGAACAATCAAGAGCAAGGTCTTGGCATATTTTACTCTCCAGAATCCACATATGATGATTATGTTCTTTGCTTTTATGCTTTACCTAAATAAGTTTACATTGAACTAATTTAGAGAGACAAGAAAATAGTTCCTGACCATTATGGTCTAATTTGCAACATATGTTATTCCTTTCAGCTGAACACTTCAGCAATTGAACAAGATTTTTATAATCTCCAGAAGGAATGTGAAGAAAAAGATGTCACCATCAGGGAGTTATCCACTTTTCTTCAATCATCAGAAGCTTTTGGTGCAAAGGTACCGTAACATGTATTTTTCGTTATACAATATTGAAGAAGAAATGTGTGCTGCTCTTCTACAAAACAATGTGGTGAATACCACTCTTACAGTTACTTATAATTGTCCCATTGGTTTGATCTAACAGAGGACTGGGGAGCTCGAAGATATCATCCGCAGAAAGAATATGATTATTACAAAACTCAAGAAAGATGTTTTAATCTTAGAGCAGAAGGTAATGATGCCTCTTAATAAATGCTAGCAGTCTCTGTCTGCATATGTGAAATAATTTTTTGCAGCAAAATGTTGTCTAGTTGTTTTACAAATTTTTGATTTACACTACTTATTGTAAATGTACCCATCATGATGCCTACTGATTAATGCTGTGATGTCAGAAAAAAATGGTCTTGTAAACTGAATTACGGTCTAATCTTGACAATATATTTGCTTGAGCATATTTGAATTGAAAACAGAATGCTTTAACTTAATGCTCCAAACTAAAATTTATTTTGGCTTATTCGACTGGTAATTTGATTTATTAGGTCGGCACGAAGTGTGAATCATTTTTGGTTTATTTGACTTTTTAACAGGTTATGAATCTAACAAGACTTAGACGACCATCATTCTCTTCAAAAAGCTCAAAGGGGGTGAAGCTTCCTCCATTGACAGACAACATCCTTTATGATATGGACAGTACTACTAGCCCTTCATCTTCAGATTCAGATAGTTCCCCTGGGAAAATAGCTCAACCTCTTTTTGCTAGTGAATATATCAGCATTTGTCATGGTGAGAATACTTTATGGGAAAACCAGAAACAGGAGCAGGTCGAAAACATACCTTTATTAGTGAAACCAACAGATAGACATCCAAAGTCACGGCCAGTATGCCCCTTGAAGGAGAAATCATTGAATCACACACAGGATTCAGTTTCCAGATTGAAACCAAAGCAGGCATCATCTATTAGTGCAGAATCTCGGAGGAGACGACCTCCTATTGCTACGTCGAAGGATGCGGTTGCACAAAAACGATGGCTTTAGTAAGTATTTTTCTTTCTAACTCAAGAAACTACAATTTTTCTTTGAAATTGTATACTGGCTTCCGTGAATAGTAGTACCAAAGGCTTTACTAAGAGAAACCTATGTAACATATGAGTTATTATGTGGAGAACATGGATACTCAACAACACTGTTGAACACAGAACACTAACACTAGCCTTCTTTATTTTCCTTATTGTGGTTAACTTTTCACCCCTTTCTTCAGGCTATCAGACGTAAATGTCACAAGTAAAATAGGCCATGCAAGTTGCTGGCCTGATAACTGGACCTGAAAGAGCTTCAGTGTAGCTTCATCAACTTCTACGGCTGCTTCGCATTTCCATCATTTCCTATGACGAACATGCCAAATAGACAGCATTATATATTTAGGTAGTAAAACAGTAGAGTACATAAAAGTTATCAAACCAGTCTTATATTTAGTTAGACTTATTGTTATATTGTAGCAAAGATGAAATGTGTCAATTATACAATTTTGGGATGTCGCCTGAACTAGCAATTATACTTCCTATGTATATTGCTATGATATGACACATTTTGCTTCTTCTGAAGTCTATGTATGTCGGCAACTTTTGACGACACATTTTCATTTGGCTTAAAACGCCGACAACCCCTTAAATTTATCAATAAATTTCATTCAGAAACTTGAACAGTTGAGCGTCTGAAGTTTGAACACATGATATAGTGTTCCTATTAGACACCTCCAATTCAATTTTTTTTTGCGTGTGCTTTTGTGCGTCATTTAGGTACTTAGTTAAGTTAATCATATATAAAATGTGTCATCTATTTAATTATACATATGGGCCTCAATTGGAACATGTTTGAGGTTTTACGGTTTATTGAGGCTAATGTGATGCATTTCAAGTGGTTTACTTATCTATGTAATTGACACTTGAATACACACCCAAAAGGTTTTCCAAACAAAAATGTTTAATAAGAATATTATATCATGTGTTTAAATGTACAATTAAAATAAGTTGTAATTTGAGTGTTCAAATGAAATTTATTGAAACGATTGACTTGGGTCTACTTAATTACGAGCTTGCTCTCCCTTTTCCTATACCCAACTGATATAGCAATGAGACTCCACTATGCCTCTATGGAAGTTCATCCTCTCTCTGTGTGTGCCCTATCTGGTTTGTTACTCTATTTACCTTCACAACCATTTGGTGTCAAAGGTTATTCATTTTCATACAAAGACACCTTACATATATATCAGGGATTACAAAGCTCGCTTTACATGAGTACGCGGACGTGCATCCATTGATGATAACCTATGAGGTATGAGGTGCATTTTTGGCCTTGATTTTGGAACTTCAAGCAAACAAGAGCTTGCTAGTTTGATGATAAAAGCCAAAAAATCTTGTACTTCATCTTCAAGCTATGGAAGACGTTCCTCTAGCAAATCACTAAGTTGCACATGATCTATAGTCGATGAATTTGCTACCACAGTAATGTAATCCCCGAGATGCTTTCCTTTGATTATCTTCAATGCTAATACTCCAAAGCTATAAACATCACACATTTCCGTAACCTTCATTGTATATGCAAGCTCTGAAACAACACAATTTCCAAAAGAGTATTAACAATTTAAACGTGCAAATGAGATTTAAACAGTATAGAGTGTTTGGCTTTAGCTCATGAAATTTGAGAAAAGGATAAAAAAAGTTAAGTTGGACCTTACCAGGTGCAACATAGCCATATGTGCCTGCAAACGCAGTGCAATTGGATGAGTCTGGCTTGAGAAGCTTCGCTATGCCAAAGTCTGCAACACAAGCTTCATATTCGGAATCAAGATAAACATTACTGCTTGATATGTCTCGATGAACAATCGGTGGTGGTGAACAATCGTAGTGCATGTAAGATAAAGCAAAAGCAACACCCTTGATGATATTCACCCTTTTCAGCCAATCCAATTTCTTGGACTCAACTTCATTGCTCAAAATAATAGACAAACACCCCCTCTCCACATCATAAACCAAGAACGAGTGTTGTGCATTCGAACAATAGCCGTAGAGGTTCACAATGTTTCGGTGCTTAATCCCCAGTCAATGCCCTTACTTCATTTAAGAAGCTTTTGGGAGGTGTATTCTCAAATGAAGAATGAAGTCTCTTCACAACTATATTCCCTAATGATGGAAGGTCTACCTTGTAAACGCTTCCATGCCCTCCATGCCCGATGCAATCAAACTCCTCTGTTGCGTTTAAGATATCCCTATACAATGCCTTTCCATCTAACATAGATATCGAAAGCCGGCCATCACCATCCCGTCTTTCAACATCTCCAACTCTCTTTTTATTACACATAAAGAGAACATCAATGAAAACACAGAGCAGTACTAGTGCTCCAATAACAGGAAGTACAATGATTAGGATGAGCTTACGACCTTTCGCCATTGAGTGTTTCTTCGCCACAGAAGATGTTGAGATAGAAAGTTTTCATAATAATAACTCGTGTCTAAGCTCGTTGACAATGGCAGACAACACAACGAAGAACACGAAGTTATCTTCAAGGGTACCTAAGTCTAAGTCTTTCTTGTCTTTAGAGAATACAAAGAGACGTGGCACAAATCCATCTGTAGATAACAATAAAGGAAAGAGAAAGCATCTGGACCATCCATGTTATCCAAGATCAGCCCAAGGTTACAGCTGTAGTGAACCAATTCTTAATCCTTCTATGAAGCACGTGAATGACACACACATAACATAGAAGATAATAAAATCTGTTAGACAGTTATTTACATAGCCAATAGAATTTAGACAAAATGTATAGGATTTTATATATTCTTTTATTGCTTTTAGATATTACATTTTCTTGTATAAATATGGGCAGTCTTGTACATATCAATACAGAGAAAATTTCCCAATACTGATCTTGATTAAATTCTTCATGGTATCAGAGCAGTAATCATTTCTCAATTCATAAGCAATGACTGGAGAATCATCTTCCCGTACGGTTATCACACCAGCCACTGTCCCAGCAGTCGGCGTTACCACGACCATCAATCCTTATCATCCTTATCATCTTCATGCTTCTGATGCACCTGGAATGGTACTGATCAACAATATTTTTGATGGGAAAGGTTATCAACGTTGGAGGAGATCTGTACTCATTGCTTTGTCTGCGAAGAACATGCAAGGTTTTATCAATGGTTCTCAACCTTCTCCTTTAGCTGTCTCTCCAGATCTTCATCTTTGGAGCATATGTAATGATATGGTTACCTCTTGGCTCTTTAACTCCCTATCAAAAAACATTGTAGACAATGTTATCTTCTCAAGCACAACTAGAGAATTATGGCTGAGTCTAGAACATAGGTTTGGCCAATCAAATGGTGCAAAGCTTTTTCATCTACAAAAGGACCTTAGTAGGTTGATACAAGGGACTAATAACATTGCAGGTTACTTCACAAAGCTGAAGAGATTATGGGATGAGTTGGATTCTCTTAACTCTAATTTCAAGTGTAATTGTGTCTGTGTCTGTCATGGAAAACAGAGGTTGGAAAAGTCCCTGCAAGATGAAAGACTGATCCAATTTCTCATGGGTTTTAATGACACTTATGCCCAAGCTCGGGGAAACATTTTGATGCTTAACCCTTTACCTGACATTAATCATGCATACTCTTTAATTTTATAGGATGAAAATCAAAGAGAGACATACATGAGTCCTCTCATCTCTTCTGATTCCTCTTCTTTCATGGTGGGAAATATGAATCACTCTAGAGGAGGAAAGCAGTCGCAGAAACTTGCTGTTACTTCACAAGGAACTGGGAATCCACATCCCAGAATTAATCACCTTCAGCATCCACAAAAGTTTCAAAGGCCAAATCTGAAGTTCAAAGGCAAGGGAGCACAGTATAACCTTAATGTATCTTGCACTTATTGTGGGAAAACTGGGCATGTGGAAGATAATTGTTTCAGGTTGATTGGCTTTCCGGATGATTTTCAGTTCACAAATGACAAAAGTTTTCATGGACAAATCAGAGGAAATGGAGCAATGACCATGGGAGATATCGAGGAAAGGAACAATCACTTTGCAGATCAGGGAAAGAACACTCACTTTGCAGATCATGGGAGAAATACTCACTATGTAGATCATGGAAGGAACCCTTCATATGCAGATCATGGAAGGAACAATAACTATGCAAATTCTGCATTCACTACTCAACCATACAACAAGGACCAATACAACTAGTTTAAACAAATGTTCAATCAAATGAAGGTGGAAGAAATAGCTCACACCAATAGAGGATTTGAGATAAATGCAAATGCAGTGGCTGGTACTATTCTAAAATATATTGGCTCATGTTTTTCAGTTCTCAATCCTCACACCTGGATCATAGATTCAGGTGCCTCTGATCATATGTGCTTTAATCCTGATTATTTTATGTCATTATCACCCCTTAAAGTACCTCTTACTATTAATCTTCCTAATTGTCAAACCATCATTGTTACTCATACATGAACTGTCTCTATATTTTCTGATCTTGCTTTGCAGAATGTTCTTTATGTTCCTAGTTTCAGATTCAATCTCATGTCAGTCCACAAGTTTTGCACTCAATTTCAATCTGTCCTATTTTTCACTTCTCTTCATTGCATGATGCAGGGCCTTTCCATGAAGAGGCCTCAAGTTTTTGGTGATGCAAATGATGGACTCTATCTGTTCCAGCCAAGTCCTATAGAGTCTAGTCTTAATTTTAGACAATATGTTCCTAATTTATCAAGTGTTAATTTGAGTGATTCAGTTTTAGTTCCTGTTTCAATTCCTCCTAATTCTAGTTCTATTCCTGTTTGTACAAGTGCAACTTCTAATATAAAATTGTGGCACATTAGACTGGGGCATTTGCCTTTATCGTCAATGAAGAATGTCAGTTTTCTCTCAAATTCCTCTTTATCTGTTTCTGATTGTTTTTGTGATGTTTGTCCTAAAGCCAAACAATCTAGGCTGGTTTTTTCTCTCAGTCAGATATCAATAAAATACATCTTTG